CGAATGGGAGCTGATCTGTGCTGCTTCGATTTACAATTATTCGGACATCTTCGATTGGAGCAACGAGAAGGGTCCGATTGTACAATCTGGTAACTCTATTTTTGATATTAGCACTAAGAACGTATTATAAAATTTGTTTCTTTAAAATTGATCTTAAAAACAAGTAAAGTTCAACGATAAATTGAAAAGAACCGAAAGTAATTAGTTGAAAATTTTAGACCGAATCTCTATCGATCGAGAGAAGACTGAATTCGCCTATAGATCAATTTTGAAAATACACGACGTGAAAATGAACGACTCGCAGCAATATAATTGTGCAGGAAAAACCGCCAAAAATATGTCTCGATCTATTGATTATCGTTTGGAAGTGAAAGGTAATTAGAAACGTAAATACCTGAAAATTGAATTATGAATTATTCCATAATATCATCTTTGATTTAGCTGCCCGAGCGCCTATTATTACTGATACGAATTTGAAAAACGACGATATAATCATTGACGTTAACACAGAAGATAGCAAGAAAGTGAATCTTAAGTGCTTCGCGGTTGGTGTGCCTAAACCGAGCATCACTTGGTTCAAGGTAGGCGATTAGTTTGAAGTAAGTTCATTAATTTCTAAATCGGGTCAATACTTCGCTGTTTATATTTCATTTAATATTTAACTATTTCACTACATGATGATCTCGATGCAAGCTATTGAAAATCGACATACTTTACACAGGACGGTAGGCAATTGGTAGCTGATAATGAAAGGTACAGGTTTTTCAATAACTTCCAAAAACTTGAAATAGAAGATCCAGTGAAACTCGACAGCGGCCAGTACGTGTGCCGAGTGCAAAATCGTATTGCAAATGTAGAAGTTTATCGACAGATAACAATAAAAGGTAATTTCATAAATTGAGAAGTATTGAGATATGTTGTAACTATTTGACTTTAAATCTCTTTTAATTAGAAGAGAAACGAGTACCTGTAGGTCTGATCATTTTACTCATCATATTAGCTATAATTGCTCGACAATTGTGCTTTTCAATATCTCGCTACATTTGTCGTAGTTCATTTTGCGATCAAAGATCCCCATAAAAAGGGTAAGTTCAGTTTGTCGTATTACGCGGTGCCATTTGATTCCACTACAATTTCACCAATTTATATGACCTTACAGATAATGAGAAAGATCTCCTCCCTTACGATAACAAATGGGAATTTCAAAGTGAAAAATTGGAATTAGGTAAGCATCGATTAAAAAAATTTTGTTTACATTTTCCGTTCGAAGAATGTTCATTCGATTGCTCAGTACAGTAAATTCTCCCCAAACGTCCTTTTACTATTAAATAAATATTGACAATTTGGGAAGAACAGATACGAATATTCGAGATTGCACCTATAAATACAAGTCGCAAGATTTGAATAATCGTATCGCCTCTTCTTAAATTGTCCATTTTTGTTTGCAAGCTGAGGGACAATTGGGGAGAATT